CTCACCCCATGCTACACGACACATACACGTCACTCACCCCATGCTACACGACACATACACGTCACTCACCCGTGCTACACGACACATACACGTCACTCACCCGTGCTACATGACACATACACGTCACTCACCCATGCTACACGACACATACACGTCACTCACCCATGCTACACGACACATACACGTCACTCATCCGTGCTACACGACACATACACGTCACTCACCCATGCTACACGACACATACACGTCACTCACCCGTGCTACACGACACATACACGTCACTCACCCGTGCTACACGACACATATACGTCACTCTGTGATAGTCCAATTACTTGAGTAACGTTTCTTGAGACTATCTTCAAATCCCAGTTAGTACTTATCTTGCTCTCATATCCCGGTACTTATCCTGCCCTCATATCCTGGTACTTATCCTGCCCTCATATCCCGGTACTTATCCTGCCCAAATATCCCAGTACTTATCCTTCTCACATATCCCGGTACTTATCCTGCCCTCATATCCCAGTACTTATCCTGCACTCATATCCCGGTACTTATCCTGCCCTCATATCCCGGTACTTATCCTGCCTTCATATCCCGGTATTTATCCTGCCCTCATATCCCAGTAATTATCTTGCCCTCATATCCAAGTATTTATCCTGCCAATATATCCTATTACATATCTTGCTCCTATGTCCCAGTATGTATCCTGCCCACATATCCCAGTACGTATCCTGCCCTCATATCCCAGTATTCATCCTACCCACATATCCCAGTACGTATCCTGCCCTCATATCCCAGTATTTATCCTGCCCTCATATCCCAGTACGTATCCTGCCCTCATATCCCAGTACGTATCCTGCCCTCATATCCCTGTACGTATCCTGCCCTCATATCCCTGTACGTATCCTGCCCTCATATCCCAGTATTTATTCTGACCACATATTCAAGTATTTATCCTGCTCTAATATACCAGTGTTTATCCTTCCCTCATATTTCAGTATTTATCCTACCCACATATCCCAGTTTTTATCCTGTCCTCGAATCCCAGTATTTATCCTGCCCACATATGTCATTATGTATCCTGCCCTCATATCTCAGTACTTATCCTGCCCTCATATCTCAGTATTTATCCTGCCCTCATATCTCAGTATTTATGCTGCCCTCATATCTCAGTACTTATCCTGCCCTCATATCTTAGTACTTATCCTGCCCTCATATCCCGGTACTTATCCTGCCTTCATATCCCGGTACTTATCCTGCCTTCATATCCCGGTATTTATCCTGCCCTCATATCCCAGTAATTATCTTGCCCTCATATCCAAGTATTTATCCTGCCAATATATCCTATTACATATCTTGCTCTTATGTCCCAGTATATATCCTGCCCACATATCCCAGTACGTATCCTGCCCTCATATCCAGGTATTCATCCTACCCACATATCCCAGTACGTATCCTGCCCTCATATCCCAGTACGTATCCTGCCCACATACGCCATTATGTATCCTGCCCTCATATCCCAGTACTTATCCTGCCCTCACATCCTGGCCAAGGGCGACTGGCTTAGCGTTTTCTCCTCACAATTACGCTACTTGGGATAAGCAGGTTATAAAGATACACCCAGACGCCTTGAGTCAGAGTGGGGGCTGATTATGTTGTTGGTGTTGGCGCGGTGCATCGTCGTGCGCATGCCTCAAGAGATTTAGATGTCGGCTTACGAAACCTCTACATCCTATCTCGATCAAGGCGGCTTTGTATATAGCTGAACGGCCCTCAACGTATGGTGGTGTCACTCTCGTTGTGAAAGAGTTCGTTGGGGTTCCGAGGTCGTAGGACAGTTTAGCGGACACAGTGTGAAGCTAGGAGTGAGGGAAGATGTACTGGTTTCGTAAAGAGCCCCGTCAGTGCTTGATGAGTGCCGGTCACTGATGGAATGCGTTTTGTCGGATGAGATGTTTACCAATGAATATACGACGGGTGGAGGAGCCATGCCAGATATTTCAGCTGGTTATCAATCTCCAAATAGACAACAGCCATCAACCCGCACCTTAAACTCTTTCCCCATAATCAGTCTTATGTCTCACTTGGTCCAATGAGCAGGTTTACCAGTCATTTAAAACAGCAGCAAGCTGTGTGGGAACAGCAGGGGAGCCCAGCCAGTGAGTCTACGCTGCTGCTGAGAGAAGTAGTACCGTTTGGGCTTCGTCACAGTATTGGGTTCCCTGCTTGCTATCTTTGGTTAGAAGACCTGTTCGTCTCCCGATGCTCATGTAAACTCCCGCTGCGGTCGAGGACTAGAAGAGAAGCATGTCCGATGCAATCCTTGTCATTATTCTCACAACATCAGCCCCCACAACACCAGGCACCACAACACCAGGCCCCACAACACCAGCCCCCACAACACCAGGCCCCACAACACCAGGCCCCACAACACCAGGCCCCACAACACCAGCCCCCACAACACCAGCCCCACAACACCAGCCCCCACAACACCAGCCCCCACAACACCAGGCCCCACAACACCAGGCCCCACAACACCAGCCCCCACAACACCAGGCCCCACAACACCAGGCCCCACAACACCAGCCCCCACAACACCAGGCCCCACAACACCAGGCCCCACAACACCAGCCCCACAACACCAGCTCCCACAACACCAGGCCCACAACACCAGCCCCACAACACCAGGCCCCCACAACACCAGGCCCCACAACACCAGGCCTCACAACACCAGGCCCCACAACACCAGCCCCACAACACCAACCCCCACAACACCAGGCCCCCACAACACCAGGCCCCACAACACCAGCCCCCACAACACCAGCCCCCACAACACCAGCCCCCACAACACCAGCCCCCACAACACCAGGCCCCACAACACCACGCCCCACAACACCAGCCCCCACAACACCAGGCCCCACAACACCAGGCCCCACAACACCAGGCCCCACAACACCAGGCCCCCACAACACCAGCCCCCACAACACCAGCCCCCACAACACCAGCCCCCACAACACCAGCCCCCACAACACCAGCCCCCACAACACCAGGTCGTCGAGTGTCTCATCATAACTCAGTATTAAGCAGCCAACAAAACGGAGCTGAAGGAATAAAGTTGAGGTTATTTACACGATAAATTGGCTGATATTTGAATACAACTCAAAGGAATAATGTAGCACTAATATGCTATAGCCCGGGGGGGGGGATGTGGGAAGGGGGAAGGGGAAGGGGGAAGGGGAAGGGGGAAGGGGGAAGGGGGAAGAGGAAGGGGGAGGAGCAATATAAGATAGGCGGCTGATATCAGTGTTTACGGAGGGAATATTTTGTTGCAATATTTCTGGGTTTGGTATACGACGGGTTGGGATGTTTTGGTCCTTTTTTACCTGCGGGATTGCCCAGAGGAAGTGAAAAATAGGATTGAATGGTGAAAGAGGCAAGCAGTTTCACGCGTGTGCGTGCCGACACGTACACGGACACGTACACGGACACACACACACACACACACACACACACACACACACAGAAAATTTCCATTGGAGCTTCAAAGGTTCCCATTCTGGAACCCCAACACATTCCTTCTTCACGTGAATTAATCTAAGAGAAAACTAACTTTTTTTTTTTTAAGACACTTACAATGATTTTTAATCCATGGAACGATGGCTCAGTCTACTTATTCTACATTATTATCCTTCAGCGAGTGTTTGAACCACTTGGAACTATACACAGCTCTTTGTTCAGACGCTACAATTTCTAGTCATTGGTGGACACGCCGGGATATTCCACAGTCTGACTCTGCTTCAATTCACGTTCTTCAGGTGGTCGCTGAAGGATTATGAAGCGGAACTGTGGCACTCTGTGCAGGCGATGAGTCACAATAACGTGGCTGACGTATGTTGACCAGACCACACACTAGACGGTGAAGCGACGACGACGTTTCGGTCCGTCCTGAACCATTCTCAAGTGGATTCTCACAATCGACTAGCGAATGGTCCAGGACGGACCGAAACGTCGTCGTCGTCCCTTCACCTACTAATGTGTGATCTGGTCATCAAAATGTGGCACTCTGCTTTACACCACCAGACTATTACCACGGGGCGATGGAAAGTTTCACCTCTGTAAAGTTAACTTCGCTGAAGAGTCAACTCTTCCAGAGGGTCGAGGCTCACCCTTTATTGTCCAATGTCCGCGTCGTGGTGGCCGTGGACTCACTGGAATTCACATCATTTCAGTTCGTGTTTAGTCTCGTAGCCTTCATCAGTGTTTCAAAAATTGTTGCTTATGAAGCAATATATCGGTGCTGCTGAGAGTGAAACTGTCTACATTATATATATATATATATATATATATATATATATATATATATATATATATATATATATATATATATATATATATATATACATACACACAGAACGATTATAAGGTTCTTGGGGGCAGAGAGCTGAATCTTCTTGAAAAACGTGAAGATGTTTCATGCAGGAAGCTCATGTCTGAATGTCAACGGTACAATGAGTGTCCCCCATGGATGTCAACGGTACAATGAGTGTCCCCCATGAATGTCAACGGTACAATGAGTGTCCCCCATGAATGTCAACGGTACAATGAGTGTCCCCCATGAATGTCAACGGTACAATGAGTGTCCCCATGGATGTCAACGGTACAATGAGTGCCCGTCATGGATGTCAACGGTACAATGAGTGCCCCCATGGATGTCAACGGTACAATGAGTGCCCCTCATGGATGTCAACGGTACAATGAGTGTCCCCATGGATGTCAACGGTACAATGAGTGTCCCCCATGGATGTCAACGGTACAATGAGTGTCCCCCATGGATGTCAACGGTACAATGAGTGTCCCCCATGAATGTCAACGGTACAATGAGTGTCCCCCATGAATGTCAACGGTACAATGAGTGTCCCCATGGATGTCAACGGTACAATGAGTGTCCCCCATGAATGTCAACGGTACAATGAGTGTCCCCCATGAATGTCAACGGTACAATGAGTGTCCCCATGGATGTCAACGGTACAATGAGTGTCCCCATGGATGTCAACGGTACAATGAGTGTCCCCATGGATGTCAACGGTACAATGAGTGTCCCCATGGATGTCAACGGTACAATGAGTGTCCCCATGGATGTCAACGGTACAATGAGTGCCCCCATGGATGTCAACGGTACAATGAGTGCCCCCATGGATGTCAACGGTACAATGAGTGCCCCCATGGATGTCCACGGTACAGTGAGTGTACCCCATGGATATCAACGGTACAATGAGTGTCCCCCATGGATATCAACGGTACAATGAGTGTCCCCATGGATGCCAACGGTACAATGAGTGTCCCCATGGAAGTCAACGGTACAATGAGTGTCCCCACGGATGTCAACGATATAATGAGTGTCCCCCATGAATATCCAGCTTATATAATGACGGTGTCATGAAGAGGAGGGAAGGGAACTATCAGGGGGGGAAACCGCCAAGCCATTATATAGCACTGGGAAGGTATCAGGATAAGGATTTGGGATGGGACGGGGGGTGGAATGGGAAGGACTGGTGCCTAATCGCTTATACGGACGGTCGGGGATTGAACGCCGACCTGCATGAAGCGAAACCGTCGCTCTACCTTCCACCCCCAGCTGAACTTACTAATAAAGGATGTGCAAGGTAAGGTAATTATCAGTAGGAATCACTAAGCCATTACAACACTGTAGCATTAGGAAGGGGGAAGGGGGAGGGGGGAGGTATGGATAACGATTTGGAATGGGGGAAAAAAAATGGCGCCAGATCAAATAAAATATTGGTTTTGTCGTAAATAAAGCAACATAGCATTAACGGAGTCTTTGTAATGATTAGCGCATTCTAAGATTAGCAACCTAAGATTAGCAACCTAAGATTAACATACTAAGATTAGCAACCTAAGATTAGCAACCTAAGATTAACATACTAAGATTAGCAACCTAAGATTACCAGCCTAAGATTAGCATACTAAGATTAGCACACTAAGATTAACATTCTAAGATTAGCACACTAAGATTAGCACACTAAGATTAGAAACCTAAGATTAGCAACCTAAGATCAGCAACCTAAGATTACCAACCTAAGATTAGCAACCTAAGATTAGCAACCTAAGATTAGCAACCTAAGATTACCAACCTAAGATTAGCAGATACCTAAGATAAGGGGAGCCGGTCGGCCGAGCGGACAGCACGCTGTACTTGTGATCCTGTGGTCCCGGGTTCCATCCCGGGCGCCGGCGAGAAACAATGGGCAGAGTTTCTTTCACCCTATGCCTCTGTTACCTAGCAGTAAAATAGGTACCTGGGTGTTAGTCAGCTGTCACGGGCTGCTTCCTGAGGGTGGAGGCCTGGTCGAGCACCGGGCCGCGGGGACACTAAAGCCCCGAAATCATCTCAAGATAACCTCAAGATAGCAACCTAAGATCAGAAAACAGAAAACGATGAGATATTCCAAACAGACAGAGTAGTTCATCTTCCAGGTATTTATAACGCCTGGGAACACGAGCAAAATAATAAAGATGGAGTTAAAAGGAGATTAAATTTTATAAATAGCAGCGGTTGATCAGATTAAATACCAGACGCGAGTAATATATACAATAGGATCTTGTGCGTGAGCGGACGACACTAGATTTATTCATGGAAGGAAAGTTAGCGGTGCTGTGAGAGCCCTAGTTACCACGAACACAAGAGGAGGAGAACCAGAGGGGAACAGGAGGAGGAGAACAAGAGGAGGAGAACAAGAGGAGGAGAACAAGAGTAGGAGAACAAGAGGTGGAGAACAAGAGGAGGAGAACAAGAGGAGGAGAACAAGAGGAAGAGAACAAGAGGAGGACAGGAGGGGAACAAGAGGAGGAGAACAAGAGGAGGAGAACAAGAGGAGGAGAACAAGAGGAGGAGAACAAGGAGGAGAACAAGAGGTGGAGAACAAGAGGAGAACAAGAGGAGAACAAGAGGAGGAGAACAAGGAGGAGAACAAGAGGTGGAGAACAAGAGGAGGAGAACAAGGAGGAGAACAAGAGGTGGAGAACAAGAGGAGGAGAACAAGAGGAGAACAAGAGAGGGAGAACAAGAGGAAGAGAACAAGAGGAGAACAAGAGGAGGGGAACAAGAGGAGGAGAACAAGAGGAGGAGAACAAGAGGAGGAGAACAAGAGGAGAACAAGAGGAGGAGAACAAGAGGAGAACAAGAGGAGGAGAACAAGAGGAGAACAAGAGGAGGAGAACAAGAGGAGGGGAACTAGAGGAGAACAAGAGGAGGAGAACAAGAGGAGGGGAACTAGAGGAGAACAAGAGGAGGAGAACAAGAGGAGGGGAACTAGAGGAGAACAAGAGGAGGAGAACAAGAGGAGGGGAACTAGAGGAGAACAAGAGGAGGAGAACAAGAGGAGGAGACCAATAGGAGTAGAACAAGAGGAGGACCAGAGGAGGAGAACAAGAGGAGGAGAACAAGAGGTGGAGAACAAGAGGAGGGGAACAAGAGGAGTAGAACAAGAGGAGGAGAACAAGAGGAGAAGAACAAGAGGAGGAGAACAAGAGGAGTAGAACAAGAGGAGGAGGACAAGAGGAGGAGAACAAGAGGAGAACAAGAGGTGGAGAACAAGAGGAGGGGAACAAGAGGAGTAGAACAAGAGGAGGACCAGAGGAGTAGAACAGGTGGAGAACAAGAGAAGGAGAACAAGAGAAGGAGAACAAGAGAAGGAGAACAAGAGGAATTCAAGATGATGTTCAGAAGAGAGCAGAAAAATCTAAGAGTTAAAAACTAATTATGGTATAATTAGTTTTAAGGTATATGGTTTATGGTATAAAAAAATTATGGTACCATAATTTAGTACGTAACCATGGAAAGCGGACGATAGATAAACGTGAGCCATGATCGATAGCTTTATAGATAGATGTAAAGTGCGATAGATAATAATATTGCAAGATTATAGATAATTTATCGAGATGTTTTTGGTCATATTAACTGAATGGATGACAAGGGAGCGATTAGGATTGTTTTCTTTTGTCCAGTCGTGATGGTCAAGTGGATGAAGGCGTCCTGTACATACCAGTTGCGTTGCTCCTGGCAGTATGGGTTCGAGTCACTTCTAGGGTGTGAGTTATATATATATATATATATATATATATATATATATATATATATATATATATATATATATATATATATATATATATATATATATTGCCCGAACCTAACCTTACCGCGGCCCCACGGATAGAAAATGGTACAGCCCGTCAGGTTTGCGAGTCACTATGATCTTGAGAACGTCATCTTTTGGACGTTGGGGGATTTACACGTCATATTTTTAGACGTTGCGGGATCTATAAGTCATATTTTGGACGTTGCGGGATTTATCCGTCATATTTTAGACGTTGGGGGATTTACACGTCATATTTTAGACGTTGGGGGATTTACACGTCATATTTTAGACGTTGGGGGATTTACACGTCATATTTTAGACGTTGGGGGATTTACACGTTATATTTTAGAAGTTTCGGGATTTATACGTCATATTTTTAGACGTTGCGGGATTTACACGTCATATTTTTAGACGTTGCGGGATTTATACGTCATATTTTAGACGTTTTGACGTACTTCACATGCGTCCAAAGGTGAAGTACTGGTCGAGAGGTCGCGTGACAGAGCACCATTAATCATTCCCTCGTGAAAGTGAACGTTTCACAGTTTTTAAAAAATGTAAGCTCACGGAGAGCACCTCAACCGGTTGTATGAACCGGTTGTATGAACCGGTTGCATGAACCGGTTGCATGAACCGGTTGCATGAACCGGTTGCATGAACCGGTTGTATGAACCGGTTGTATGAACCGGTTGTGTGAACCGGTTGTATGAACCGGTTGTATGAACCGGTTGTATGAACCGGTTGTGTGAACCGGTTGTGTGAACCGGTTGTGTGAACCGGTTGTATGAACCGGTTGTATGAACCGGTTGTGTGAACCAGTTGTGTGAACCGGTTGCATGAACCGGTTGTATGAACCTGTTGTATGAACCTGTTGTATGAACCTGTTGTATGAACCGGTTGTGTGAACCGGTTGTGTGAACCGATTGTGTGAACAGGTTGTGTGAACCGATTGTGTGAACCGGTTGTGTGAACCGGTTGTATGAACCGGTTGTGTGAACCGGTTGTATGAACCTGTTGTATGAACCGGTTGTATGAACCGGTTGTATGAACCGGTTGTATGAACCGGTTGTATGAACCGGTTGTATGAACCGATTGTATGAACCGGTTGCATGAACCGGTTGTATGAACCTGTTGTATGAACCTGTTGTATGAACCGGTTGTATGAACCGGTTGTGTGAACCGGTTGTATGAACCGGTTGTGTGAACCGGTTGTGTGAACCGGTTGTATGAACCGGTTGTATGAACCGGTTGTATGAACCGGTTGTATGAACCGGTTGTATGAACCGGTTGTATGAACCGGTTGTATGAACCGGTTGTATGAACCGGTTGTGTGAACCGATTGTGTGAACCGATTGTGTGAACCGGTTGTGTGAACCGATTGTGTGAACCGGTTGTGTGAACCGGTTGTATGAACCGGTTGTGTGAACCGGTTGTGTGAACCGGTTGTATGAACCGGTTGTATGAACCGGTTGCGTGAACCGGTTGTGTGAACCGGTTGCGTGAACCGGTTGCGTGAACCGGTTGTGTGAACCGCTTGTATGAACCGGTTGCATGAACCGGTTGTATGAACCGATTGTATGAACCGTTTGTATTAACAGTTTCTATGGACCGCTTGTATGAATCGCTTGTATGAACCGCTTGTATGAACCGGTTATATGAACCGTTTGTATTAACAGGTTGTATTAACAGGTTGTATAAACCGGTTGTATGAACCAATTGTATGAACCTGTTGTATGAACCGGTTCATAGCTAACTGGTTGTATAGAAGGGCAGGGAACTATCAGGGGGAAAGCGCCAAGCCATTACGCCTATATATCACTGGGAAGAGGGGGGGGGGGGTCAGGATAAGGATCTGGGATGGGACGGTGGGATGAGGGGAGGGGGAGAGGGAAAGGAATAGTGCCTAACCACTTATGGACTGTCGGGGGATTGAACGCCGACCTGCATGAAGCGAGACCGTCGCTCTACCGTCCAGCGATGTATGGAATGGAGTTTGGAGTCTTGCTGGAATGGACAGGAGTAAGATCTGGGAATTTGTGGATCAGGAAAAGGTTGTAAGATTCAAGGAATTAATTGTTGTGAATATTATATTTTAAATCCAATTACAATCTTATTTATATTGCTTTTTATTTTATTCTGGGTTTAATACGGTTATCTTAATACGGTTAATACGGTAATACTTGATATCTTTAATACGGGCTGCTTCCTGGGGGTGGAGGCCTGATCGAGGACCGGGCCGCGGGGACACTAAAATGCCCTGAAATCATTTCAAGATAACCTCAAGATAATATGTCCCTCTTCAGTCAAAATGGGAAACGGAGTATTGGAAAAAATGATGATTTTGATGATTTAAGGGAATAAAAATCCCTTAAATCTAGAACAATGTTCTGCTAGAACATTGTAGCAGAGGCAATGTTATTGTCGTTCTTCTGAAATGGATGTATATATGATCCGTTATCTTCTTGCCAGAACTCTGGAGAGTAGTAAAGGTAGAGTTCGTGTCTACCCCCCTGATGTCTGTGAATAAACTGGATCAATAAGGAGAGCCGGGTGATGACACCTTATTGCCGCGCCATCTACTAATCAATAAAGTTAAATTATCTATTCAAAATAGTATGAATAAATTGTCTATCTTCCTACTCAATACGTACAAGCACGAATGGCGCTGAGTTAGAACGAGAGTGTATGCTTGAGGGTCGGAGCTGGTTGTTCACACGCACACACGCACACGCATACACGCACCCACACACACACATGCACACGCATACACGCACCCACACACACGTACACACACATGTTGCTAGACTGGCCAACATAAGAACTGCCTCTAGAAACTTGAGTAAGGAATCGTTCAGGACCCTGTATACAGCTTATGTCAGACCAATCCTGGAATATGCAGCTCCAGCTTGGAGTCCATACCTTGTTAAACACAAGATAAAGATAGAGAAGATTCAGCGATATGCTACGAGACTCGTCCCGGAACTAAGAGGAATGAGCTACGAGGAAGGGCTAAAGGAACTGAATCTCACGTCCCTGGAAGACAGAAGAGTAAGGGGAGACAGGATAACTTCCTACAAAATTCTGAGGAAAATTGACAGGGTGGACAAAGACAAACTCTTCAGCACGGGTGGGACACGAACAAGGGGACACAGGTGGAAACTTAGTACCCAGATGAGCCACAGAGACGTTAGAAATAATTTTTTCAGTGTCAGAGTAGTTAACAAATGGAATGCACTAGGAAGTGATGTGGTGGAGGCTGACTCCATACACAGATTCAAATGTAGATATGATAGAGCCCAGTAGGCTCAGGAATCTGTACACCAGTTGATTGACAGTCGTGAGGCGGGACCAAAGAGCCAAAGCTCAACCCCCGCAAGCACAACTAGGTAAGTGCTACTAGGTGAGCACACACACACACACACACAGGTATGAGGAGGTAATGAAACAGCTGTCAACACTGGTTGCACCTAAAGCGGTTGGACCAGCCAAGGTATCACCGTGGATACTAAAAGAGGCAACGCAGGCCCTCAGCGTGCCTCTGACAAGGATCTTTAATGAGTCACTTACGTCGGGAGAATTGCCCAGTTGCTGAAAGAATGCAAATGTCGTACGGATTTTCAAGAAAGGTGATAAGGAGGAGGCACTTAACTTAGGACCTGTATCACTGACAAGCATCCCCTGTAAAATACTTGAAAGATATTTTAGACTATGACTGGCTGCACACCTGGAGAACATCAACCTAGGTTCTGGAAAGGGAAAACTTGCCTAACAAACCTTTTGGAATTCTATGATAAAATAACGAGGATAAGACAGGACAGAGAAGGCTGGGCAGACTGCATATTTCTAGACTGCCAAAACGCTTTTGATACAGTACCGCACATGAGATTGCTATTCAAACTTGAGTGGCAGGCGGGAGAAAGCGGAAAGGCCCTAGCATGGGTAAGGAGCCAAACAGGAAGGAGCCAAAGAGTTACGGTAAGGGGCGAGAAGTCGGACTGGCGAACAGTAACGAGTGGAGTACCTCTAGGATCGGAGCTGGGACCAATTCTATTTCTAATATACGTTCATGACATGTTTACAGGAGTAGAGTCCTACATGTCGATGTTCGCGGATGACGCAAAGTTGATGAGTAGAGTTATGACAGATGCGGATTGCAGGATCCTCCAAGAGGACTTGAACAGGTTGCAGAAATGGTCAGAGAAATGGCTACTGGAGTTCAACACGAGCAAACGTAAAGTTATGGAAATGGGACTAGGAGATAGGAGACCAAAGGGACAGTACACAATGAAGGGGAACTGCCTACCTGTGACGACGCGAGAAAGAGACCTGGGGGTGGACGTAATACCTAATCTAACTCCAAAGGCACATATAAATAGGATAACGACAGCAGCGTACTCTACACTGGAAAAAGCTAGAACATCATTCAGAAACCTAAGCTAGGAGGCATTTAGGACGATTTGCGCTGCCTACGTGAGGCCAGTCTTAGAGTATGCCACCCCATCATGGAGTCCCCACCTGAAGAAACACATACGGAAACTGGAAAAGGTGGAGAAGTTTGCAACAAGACTCGTCCCAGCGTTACGAGGGATGGGGTATGAAGAGCGCCTGAAGGAACTGAGCCTTACAAGACTAGAAAAAAAAGGGAGAGGGGGGGGGGGGTATGATAGGAACGTATAAAATACTCAGGGGAATTGACAGAGTGGACATAGACTAAATGTTCACACGGAATAGTAACAGAACGAGGGGACATGGGTGGAAGCTGGAAACTCAGATGAGTCATAGAGATGCTAGAAAGTTTTCCTTTAGCGTGAGAGTAGTGGGGAAATGGAATGCACTTGGGGAACAGGTTGTGAAAGCAAACTCTATTCATACTTTTAAAATTAGGTACGGTACGGAAATGGGACAGGAGTCATTGCTGTAAACAACCGATGGCTCGAAAGGCGGGATCCAAGAGTCAATGCTCGATCCTGCAGGCGCACACACACACACACACACACACACACAGGTGGAAGCTGAGTACCCAAATGAACCACAGAGACATTAGAAAGAACTTTTTCAGTGTCAGAGTAGTTAGTAAATGGAATGCATTAGGCAGTGATGTGGTGGAGGCTGACTCCATACACAGTTTCAAATGTAGATATGATAGAGCCCAGTAGGCTCAGGAACCTGTACACCTGTTGATTGACAGTTGAGAGGCGGGACCAAAGAGCCAAAGCTCAACCCCCGCAAGCACAAATAGGTGAGTACAAATAGGTGAGTACACGCCGTGACATGTGTGACATGAGTACATATTGCACGCTGGTACATGTCCGAGGTAGGGGAGGAAGGGGAGGCGTGACCACGTCTCCTCCTACAACTCTACGCGACACCAGAATGCTTCTTCAAGATCACATATAAAACAAATTGATGGGTTTGAAACCTGCGCCGGAGGAAGCCCGACACTGCTAGAACTCTTGGTTAAATATTGATATTTGTGTCTAAAACCTCGAAAGGGAGATATAAAGGGAGCAAGAGAAGAATGGCAGTAGAGAATGTAATAAAGATGGGGGTGAGGCATTTGTGGCAATGTTTGGGGTGAGGGGAAAATGAGAGAGGGGAATGAGGAGATTGGGGAGAGTAACAAAGATGTATAAGGGCTTGAAATGTGAGAGGGGGAGAGTGAGTAAGGGCTTGGAATGTGAGGGGGAAAGTGAGTAAGGGCTTGGAATGTGAGGGGGAAAGTGAGTAAGGGCTTGGAATGTGAGGGGGAAAGTGAGTAAGGGCTTGGAATGTGAGGGGGAGAGTGAGTAAGGGCTTGGAATGTGAGGGGGAAAGTGAGTAAGGGCTTGGAATGTGAGGGGGAAAGTGAGTAAGGGCTTGGAATGTGAGGGGGAGAGTGAGTAAGGGCTTGGAATGTGAGGGGGAAAGTGTGTGGGTACTGGGAATGTGAGGGGGAGAGTGTGTGGGTACTGGGAATGTGAGGGGGAGAGTGTGTGGGTACTGGGAATGTGAGGGGGAGAGTGTGTGGGTACTGGGAATGTGAGGGGGGAGAGTGTGTGGGTACTGGGAATGTGAGGGGGAGAGTGTGTGGGTACTGGGAATGTGAGGGGGAGAGTGTGTGGGTACTGGGAATGTGAGGGGGAGAGTGTGTGGGTACTGGGAATGTGAGGGGGAGAGTGTGTGGGTACTGGGAATGTGAGGGGGGGAGAGTGTGTGGGTACTGGGAATGTGAGGGGGAGAGTGTGTGGGTACTGGGAACGTGAAGAAAATGGATTGTAGAGGCTGGAAAGCTGTATAGGGGCATGGAAATGTGAGAAGAGAACCTGGGATGCATAACGGAGGAGTGAGAGGTGCAAGAGATGAGGAAGCATGACAGAGGAAGATCCCACATACGAAGGAGGAGAGTGGGAGAGCCTTTAGCTAGACGGGGGGAGGGAGCACACATGGCTGCAGCCAAGCTGTGACTTGCTTCAGACATACTGGCCAATATGGCTGCCGTGTCGCAGCAGTACCGGCCAGTGGGGGTGTACTCTCCCCTTAGTACTGCCATGGAGGGGGCTGACACGTCCCAAAGTATCGTCCAGTGGGTCTAGTTTTGTCCCAAAGTACCATCCAGTGGGTCTAGTTTTGTCCCAAAGTACCGTCCAGTGGGTCTAGTTTTGTCCCAAAGTACCATCCAGTGGGTCTAGGTTTATCACAAAGTACCATCCAGTGGGGCTAGTTTTGTCTCAAAGTACCGTCCAGTGGGGCTAGTTTTGTCCCAAAGTACCGTCCAGTGGGGCTAGTTTTGTCCCAAAGTACCGTCCAGTGGGTCTAGTTTTGTCCCAAAGTACCGTCCAGTGGGTCTAGTTTTGTCCCAAAGTACCGTCCAGTGGGTCTAGTTTTGTCCCAAAGTACCGTCCAGTGGGTCTAGTTTTGTCCCAAAGTACCGTCCAGTGGGTCTAGTTTTGTCCCAAAGTACCGTCCAGTGGGTCTAGTTTTGTCCCAAAGTACCGTCCAGTGGGTCTAGTTTTGTCCCAAAGTACCGTCCAGTGGGTCTAGTTTTGTCCCAAAGTACCGTCCAGTGGGTCTAGTTTTGTCCCAAAGTACCGTCCAGTGGGTCTAGTTTTGTCCCAAAGTACCATCCAGTGGGTCTAGTTTTGTCCCAAAGTACCATCCAGTGGGGCTAGTTTTGTCCCAAAGTACCGTCCAGTGGGGCTAGTTTTGTCCCAAAGTACCATCCAGTGGGGCTAGTTTTGTCCCAAAGTACCATCCAGTGGGGCTAGTTTTGTCCCAAAGTACCATCCAGTGGGGCTAGTTTTGTCCCAAAGTACCATCCAGTGGGGCTAGTTTTGTCCCAAAGTACCATCCAGTGGGGCTAGTTTTGTCCCAAAGTACCATCCAGTGGGACTAGTTTTGTCCCAAAGTACCATCCAGTGGGACTAGTTTTGTCCCAAAGTACCATCCAGTGGGACTAGTTTTGTCCCAAAGTACCGGGCAGCACATCACAATACAGGACAATAAATGTTTGAGAATTGACTGGTGTTCACAAACCCATTTTTGACATTCTAAACATCACGTTTAGGGTGTCAAATGACCTGTCAAACAAAGGCCATGTTTATCATAAATTTATCTTGACAAATGACTCAACTCTCACCCACACCCAGAGTGACAGAACTCTTATCCCACACCAGAGTGACAGAACTCCTACCCCACACCAGAGTGACAGAACTCTTACCCCACACCAGAGTGACAGAACTCTTATCCCACACCAGAGTGACAGAACTCTCACCCACACCCAGAGTGACAGAACTCTTACCCCACACCAGAGTGACAGAACTCTTATCCCACACCAGAGTGACAGAACTCTTACCCCACACCAGAGTGACAGAACTCTTATCCCACACCAGAGTGACAGAACTCTTATCCCACACCAGAGTGACAGAACTCTTACCCCACACCAGAGTGACAGAACTCTTACCCCACACCAGAGTGACAGAACTCTCACCCCACACCAGAGTGACAGAACTCTCACCCCACACCAGAGTGACAGAACTCTTACCCCACACCAGAGTGACAGAACTCTTACC